GCCCTTACGGCCTGATTCCTGGAGACCCAAATCCAGCAGAGGTACTCATCAAGTTCCCTGGCCAGATGGGCAACCAACGTGGCAGGTGGACTGAGCCCCTGATGGGGTGCCTCCCTGCGCAGGTGCCATTGTGAGCTGGACTATAGGATGGGCTACACAGTTTCCCAAGTGTTTTGGTTAGGACTCCTGGTTGGGTGGGGCTAGAGGCTATGTTCAGCCCTCTGTGGGCCTTTGAATTTGCTTCCCAGCCCAGGTGGGACAATAGGACAGAACCTATAGCTGGTACCCTTATTGGTTAGGGACCTGAATCAGGCAGAATTGCCCACCAAACTCCCTGGCCAGACAGGGCCACTGGCTTGGCTTGGCTGTGCAGATGGGCAAAGCTACTGGCTGCATGTCTGCTGGAGTGCTAGTGAGAACAGTAATGCAGTGAGCCAAGAAGCAGCCACTGGTTGCTATGAGCCCTCCCTTCTCCATCCCAGTCTGATGTCCAATGTTGAGGCCCACAGATTTGCCCTTGCGGATCCCCCTGCAGTCCCAGAGTGGGCCCTCCAGGAAGTGACCCATTACACTTGGGGAGCTGAGCAACTTGGGCTCTCCCTTTCCCACTGGAGACACTGTAGGCCTTAGGGAGCCCTCTCAGTGTGGGCTGCGCTGGCCTGGTGGAGGGCTGTAGCCCTCATCTTACCTTTTTCTATGTGGTCCTTTTGGTCTCTGTAGTCCTGGGGGTTCTTCAGCCTCACCCCCATGTTAGATTTTCACAGTGGTGTTTTGTCTGTGAATGGTTGCTAGGTGGTGTGCTTGTGAGGGGGACTGAAGTCAAAATGGCATATGTTGTCATCTTCATTGTGCCACTCCCCAAAAGACACCAAAAATAATAGGGAAAAGGACAGGGAGAAAATATTAACAGTAGATGTATTGGACAAAGGGCATGTGTCTAGAATACTGTCAAAGAACTCTTACACCTTACAACACAACCATAAGACAATCATCCCAGTTAAAAAACTTTGAACAGACACTTTACAAAAGAAGATCAAGGGCCGGACGAGTGGCTCAGTTATTTAAGAGCTCGCTCAAGAGTGTGAGCTCTGAGCAACAGCAGTTCGAGTCCCAGCCCTAGCTGAGCTGCCGCTGAGCTGCCAACAGGTGGCAGGATGGCTCAGCTATAAATAAATTAATTAATTAATAAAAATAAAGAAGATCAGACAATAAACAAATGAAGAGATGTTCAACCTCAGTAGTCCTTACAGAAATGCAAGTTTAAGCTAAAATGTATTTATACGAGAATATATTATGTAGGAGTAATCTATGTCATTTCTCTGAAGTCACTGGTTTTTTCTTTTTAGCTTTCTCTAGTAAAAATCACATTTGGAACCATTTTAAACTGTTGGTGAGTGTGAAGCTTTTACTTGCTAAGGTACTTCACCCTCCTTCCCCAACCCCCCCCCCAATTCTGTTTGAAATGCTTATTGTGGATCGAGATACAAAAGAATAGTTCCCAAATGTGAGCATGTATGTAAAAACACGGGTTTCTGGTTCCATACTAGATGGGAGGAACCAGATTCTGGGGGTGGGAGCCTGGACACTGCACTTCTGTAAGCATTTTAGGTGTTAAAGGTGTAAGCAGACCTCAAACCATTCTTAAGAAACGTTAGGCCAAAGAGTACCTTTTGTTTAGGTAGTAACTGCCTCTAGGAAAACATCTTGAATTTCCTAGTTTAAACAAAGTTCCAAAGCTCCAAGACAGCCCATGTGCTTCATTTGGGAGTTGGTTGCTTAACTTTGACCTGACAGTTCTCCAAAGAGCACAGTAAGGTTTCTTTTATCTTTCTAGTTGTTCCCTAGCTTCAAGTCAGAAAACAGTCTATTCATCTCTTTATCTCCAAATAAATAGTTAATATTTTAGTGCAAATAAAAACATTGTATTGAGACTTTCAAAACAAATGCCATCCCCACATAAAGCATAAAATAATGCATTTTATTATTATAAAGCCTCAGATTCTGTTTCTTTGAATTTGCCAAAGGGTACCGTTTTTCATACAGCTTCTTCCCCACTTTATTTTTCAGTATTTTGGATTTGCAAACATTTTCTTTCTGTTAATAAAGCACTAAACAATGTCATGCCTTCTAAATAAATGTAGTAATAATACCCTTTCAATCAGTTTGGATACATGACAGTTATGTTATTGAATTTTTGGTTTCATTAAGATTATACCTATGCCAACTTGTGGTGTAGTCCCTCAAATATTAAACTGTTCCTTAAATATAGATCTTCATTGCTTTGAAAATCTGCAATTAAATAGGAGAGAATTCTCTTTTATATTTTTCCCTCCATCTCATATTCTGTGAGCATGCTGTAAATGTCACAGTAACAATTGGTGGACACCACTTCTGTGGAGCATTTTATGGGCTTTCTCAGCCACACAAGGCGTGAAAAAGGAAGACTAGGTCTGAGTGTTTGAAAGGAAGAAATAGAATTGTTATTACTTGCAGATGATTTGTCTACGACGATCATTCAAGATAATGGTTATTTTGGTAGCACATACAGTGATGGGAAAATCTAAGAGAATCTATATACAAACTGTTACAATTAACTCACCAGTGACTGGGTCTGATTTCAGGACACATAATCAATAACTTTTTCATATAAAGCAATAACCATGTATATCCAGCTGCCTACTTTACATCTCCATCGAGATAAGACATCGCAAGTTTAAAACAATACCCTTGAACATTTACCCATCTACCCCACTTCCAACCCACTCCTCCCATGTCATGACTGTGTGTCCAGTTTTTCAGGCCAAAATCTTAGAATCAAGCCATCCTTGATTCCTGTCTTTTCCCTCACACTCAGCATAACCTGTTGTCTCCAGCTTCCAGATAAGTTCATAAAAGAGCCACTTCTCACCAGCCTCCTGTGCAGTCCCCCTAGCCCACACAACCACCCCGCTACCACCCCTCATCTGGATCACTGCATGACTTCTGGGCTTCCACTTTGGGGCTCCTTCCGTCTGTTCCTCACATAGCAGCCAGAATTAACCTTGTCACATGTGTCAGACCATGTTACTTTGTCACTCAAAACACTGTCAAGGCTTTTGCTATGTTTAGAATAAAATGCAGACTCTTACAAGGAGACCTGGCCTTTGCACCCTCTGGTCGCAGCTCCTCCCTCCTCCCCACCTCCCCCATAATCTGGCCAGGCAGCTTCCTGTCCTCAGCATGCCAAGTGCATCCTACTTCCTTTCCCCAGATCCTCCACCATTAGACCTCAGCTCCAGTGTCCCTCCTCAGAGAGGCCTTCTCTGATCCTGCTGTGTGTGATTTGTCTTTATGTGTCACATGTCATCACCTGGTATGTTCTATTTTGGTCCCTTACTGGGATGTTAGGGCCATGAGAGCAGACTCTGGCTTTGTTCCTGTAGCCCCAGCGATGGACAGCCCCTAGCATTCAGTATATTTGTGTTCAGTGAACCAGGTATATTTTTTTTTACCTTGTCTGGCCACTTTAGACATATTCCGTATTGGGGAATAGACTCTCAGTTCTGTGGCAGAAAAAAACTGTACTTTAATTTCCTTTGTATCTAGCATCTAACAGTGTCTATATGTGAATTACTGACTCACACACATTTACTTCATGCATTATATATTTTCCCCTTGGTTGGATTAAGATTTTGTAGAAATTTGATTTTCACACCATTAGAATTGATGAGCTGATCAGTATCTCTTGTTTTAAAGGAGCCAGGGTGTCCTATTATAACGTGGCTAAGAAGGGCTGAGATCAAGAGTGGATTCTGTACCCCTTACTGCACGTGGCAGCTGTCTTGTGAGGAATTGTGCCTTCTCTGTCCCGGTGTCTTTAGTTCTGTGCTATAGAAAAGTAGAATCTTACGTTTGGTGTTTTCCTTGTTTGTGCTTGTCATCTTTTGTTTGCCGTATATAGAGGGATTATTATCAAGCAGCGTGGAGGACTCCTCTTAATTGGTAGGGCTGAAAACACCTTTGGGCTTTGTTGTTTCTAGCTCATTTATTCCACTACTCAGACTATGTAATCTTGATAGCATCAAGTTAAAGCTAAACTTTTGTATGTTCATATTCTGTATGCCCTTTTCTATTTCTAATGTATGTCATCTATTTCCTGAATGAAATTACTGTATCATTTTGAAGCATGTGTTCTTGTGAATTATGGTAGTGATGAAAATAGCTCACAAAGGTGAGGTTTGTTCTTAAGTAATTTCTTAAAATGCAAGAGAAAGATAAACATCCACTATTTAGAAACTTAAGTGGCTGACTGAATTTCTGACTTTCTCAGTATAGAAATAGATCCCTGTAGGTATGTGGGCCCCACCCCCCGGCCCTAGGTCATTTATACTTTGCTTCACTGTTAGGTCGTGATGATGTCTAGGAGGTTTGCTGTTCCAAAATCTGTTTCAGTAAGAAGTTCTAATATCAAGTGGGATAGTTAGAAATGATACTAAGTATTTAGGCCAAGACATCATAGATCAGTGTGTTCCAGACTCTCAGATTAAAAAGATATTTCAGCTCTTAGAAATTTCTATCACAAATTCATTTTTGTTTAGTTCCTTTGCCACTCTAGTTAAAATGTCATCATGTTTTTTCTCTCTATATATTATCTGTCAAGTATGTGTAGTTGCACTATTTGTTCTTCATTGTACATGTATCAAAAAATCCAGGTAAGCATATTAAGGTATATTGTTATCAACTATATCGACCAAAATAAATTTCAACATTCAGTCTACCTGAGCATTTTCTCTGTTTGCATACCTTTCAATAGGAAAACTACTCCTATTTTCTCTTTGCATTTTTTAAAAACACAATATTTACTGATTCCCTCTAATAAGAAAAAGTAACGCACATCCCTGATAGAACATTAGACTCCACTTTTCGTAGTGATACTTTCTCGTGACAACATTTTAAGGGTCTGGCTTTGGTTTGGGAAAATACTGTGAAGAATTACATCTGAGTTTTCTTTTTGCTTGCAGTATATCTCTGTACCGGGGTAACTGCAGACCTATACGATTTGAGCCACCGATGCTGGATTTCCATGAACAGTAAGTTCACAACTTTCAGACCATAGTTTCCCGTTGAACTATTCCATGTATTTTATTTGTGCATTTGTCTTGCCTTATGCCGGTGTTATTTGTACAAGAATGTTAATGTTCAAGTCTTCAGGAAGACAAATGATGCTGAGTATGGTCTGCGAATGGAAAGAAATATTACAAATCTAACATATAAATTTAACTTTTGAATTTTGAAGTTTGAAAACCAGCCACATACTAGAGACTGGTTTAGAGGATCTTATCTTCAGACGCAACATAAAGTGTGTAGGTGACCTTTTCTGATGAGCACTTCATTTCCATTTCTATTATTTAAATGTTTCCTCGTGGCTATAGAGGATATGTTATTTATTTGTTTTGATGCATATGCTTTTAAAGTTTGCACACCACCAAGTAAATGGTACTATCACAGCCCAGAAGGTCAGACAGAAGCAAATTCTACAGAAAGAAATGGCTGGGCCACAGCCTTGCCTCCTCATGCCACACGGCAGACTCACCTACCACTTTTGGTCTCAGTTTGCACATCGCAGACGCACTCAGGGAATAACAAGTCTTAAGCCACATTGGGTTCCACCCCAACTTAGCAAGTGGATAAAAAGAACATCTCAAATGGTATCTCTGCTAAAGCAACGCCCCTTGGTAAGTTAGCAGAGCAAAGAACTCAAAAGGGAAGTGGGGAGTGGGGGGTAGGCCATATGTAAATCTCTTCTGCTTCAGTAAATGAAAGTTGTAATTTTCTTTAATATTGTCAAAGCTGTATTTAAACGTCTTACTGTTTAAACACATTAGGTATAAATTATTTATAATCTCAAACCTAGCATAATCAAATAGATGTTGTGCTCGTACAAATCCATGATCCATGGTGATGGAGTGGTTAGCGTTAGAAGTAGGCTCTCTAATACCGTGTTTCCCCGAAAATAAGACCTAACCAGAAAATAAGCCCTAGCATGATTTTTCAGGATGCTTGTAATATAAGCCTTACCCCAAACATAAGCCCCAGTTAAGATCGTCAGTCAGACATGACTGTTTGAATAAATGTAGATTTTTGAACATGAATAAATGTAGATGGTTGGAGTAAAAATTAATATCAGACCCAGTCTTATTTTCAGGGTAACATGATAGCAGTTCCGTCTTTTCAGGAGGTTATATTCTTACAGAGATTCTCATGGATTTTTGGGGTGGGAGTGTGGAGAGAAGTTTGCACGCTGCTTTGTGCACTTTAGATGGTCAGTCTTTGGGAATAGGCATTAATGTAGGTAAAATTGACTTGTGTACGTGAGTTTAGCAGACCGTGATGTTCAGATAGGAAATATATCACTATTCTGTCCTATAAAACAGGTTTAGGTACAGTGTTGAGATTGCAGGAACATAGAGTTCTTAATCCAGTCACAATAATTTATCACCCATAGTTTCCTTCTATTAAATGCAAGATATTTAATGAAACATGGAATGTATCCTGATCTTACCAAGAGCGTTTATTTTAAAAATAATGACTTTTCACTCCAGTAAAATTCTCTTTGAGTGTAACCCTCATTCTAGAGTGGATCAGAATAAAACCGGGCAAACTCTATTCTAAGACTATGACAGTATAAGGGTACATGGGCATATGGGCATATATGAGGGGGGTATAGAGGAGCTCGGTACACAATACCAAAATTTTTATAAAGTAGTATCTTGACTGTGAAAAGTTTAGTAGTAACCATTCTAGAGAGATTGTTTCAAAAGTTATATCCAACTGTTTTCCACTTCATTCTTTGTTTTTTTGAGGGATTTTTGCAAATTTCATGCATCCCTTGAGATAAAAATATTTTCAGGTATACAAAATACCTGACTTGGAATTGGGAATTTCTGTTCCAAATTACCTGTCCTTCAGCCCCTTAAATAATAACCCACCCCCAAATAGGAGAAATCAAGATACCATCCGCAAGTGTCTGGACTGGCGACTTTATCATGGCTCTTTAGGAACAGATGAGAGCTGTGAGGCTTCTTCCTTCCTCCCCTGACATGCGTGCAATGCACACAGTGCATATGGCTCAAGGGTTTTGTAGGCATCCCCCTCAAAGTCCATATCTGGACCCTTAAGAGCTAGTGAGGAACCCCGCCCTAGGCCACAGGTTATTTAATCACCACTGCAAAACTTACTGGGGATTTGCTTACCACACAGCAGTGTGTATCCACTGTAGTAAACTTAGAGAATGCTTATCAGGAGAAAGAAGAAAGCAAAAAGTTACCTACAACCACTGAAAAGCATGTACATGAGCTTGGTATCCTCAAGTTCTTTTTCTATGTATGTTTATTAAGTTATAAAAACATAACCATATTTTCTGAACATAAACTATTTTATAACCTGCTTTCTAAACATAATCTATTATACATTCTTTTTTCTTCCACTGTTTTCTTTTACATTATTTTTTGGTATCAAAGAACATCAAGTTTCATGGATATATTTGTTAAATTGATTTATTTTTAAAAAGTGTTTGAAACTTTTTGTTCTTATAATTAGTGTTGAAACTAATGATTTAAATACAACCCTATTTCCTCAGGAGAGAGTCCTAAAAATGGAATTGTGAGATGAAAGGATATGCATAATATAGAGGTTTTTAGTTAATACTCAGGCTAGAGAATAATTTGGTGTCATGAACAAGGAAAACTGATAGGAATAGATGAATTAATATATGACTAGACAGGAGATAAATGGGATTTCTTTAAGAGACTGGTGCTAGTCTTGGAGAAATCTGCTGAGCTGAGAGAAACTAGGAGGTCTGCTGAGCACGTGTGAATGGACAGATGAGCTCCAACACAAACCAGTTCAGATAGTACAATGAAGAGGGTTGCGAAGCCTGGCGTGGGCTCTCGGTCACAGCACAGGAAAGCATGTAGTAGTCACACTGACTGCCCCCTCAAGCAGCAGATGCATGTGCCGCTCCATATTAGTGGGAATAGGAGAAGAAAACCACCCTCCCGTGATTTTAAACTCTGCTGTGTCCGGTCTGGGAGCACCGAGTGGGGTTTATTTTACCTCACAAAGGTAGAAGTGGATCTTGTAAAAGCAGGAGTTTGGGGCAGATGGGGTCAGTCAGAGGCACGGCAGATGGTGGAGATGGTGCGCATGCGTGCTCACACCGTTGTAGGAACGGGTGAGAACGCCGGGTGGGCAGGGGCAGGCAGAGGAAGGGAGGATGCTGAGTAGGCTGGTCCCCAGGGCACAGACTGACGGGATGTCCACAGGCATGTCCCGAGGAAGCCGAGCACTCACAGAGTCAGCCGCTGTTTGGAGTCTCTTAGCTCAGGCGGGGACTAAGCTCTCTTTGAAAGGGCTTCCAGTTGAGTAAGACAGGCCCACCTAGGAAATTGCCCTTTTAATTTGCTTCAAGTCAGCTGAGTAGGGGCTTTAAATGTGTGCAAAATCCCTTCCCAGCAGCACCCAGTTAGTGTTTGAGAACTGGGAGAAGGTGTGTGTATGCTACACCATGGCTGCTGCCCCTCCATATTCCAGCTCTTCAGAGTGGCTGTGCCTGGGAACCCACCTTCAGCAGGAATGTACCAGAAAGGGAATTCTGGAGGCTGTGGTTCAGACCAACCAGTTGATTATCACAGAGCCACCATAGGGATGTAAATGAAGAGGTTCCTTAGTTGAGAACTTTGCACTCTGGAAAATCAGAGGGGATGTGAATAAAAGAATTTGCCTGGCGTTGTTAGAACTAAGGTTCTTTTATGAAACTTGAAAGTAGTTTTAGGACAAACAAAATGAAGTTGTACGTTTTCACTGCAGAAAGTAAATTATCAGTGGGTCAGGAAGGAAGTGATTGCTAAAGAAAATCAGATGTGTTAGGACACATTCTTTTTTAAAGTAGTTGTGGTTTTTTTCTTCACTATAAGAAGGATAAAACTTAGTTGATTGAAATTTTTTCCTGCGTTGACTACTTTTCTTCCTGCCTCCAAAAATTCCTGCTCTTTCTTCAATGTCTATTAAGATTATAACATTAAGAATGTTACTAGGGGCTGGCTGAGTGGTGCGATGGTTAAGAACTGGCTTGGGACGCCAGAAGACCCCGGTTTGGATCCCACATATGAGGGCCAGTGACACTGCCCTCTACAGCTAAGATGCTGAAAAACAGCTCAACCTGGAGCTGGGCAGCTGTGAGTCTCTGGCAACGGCGGAGGCTGCAGCCCCTGTGGCAGTGGGTTGCCATGGGCTACCGTATGTAGCCAGCAGCCAGCGTGAGCAGCCAGCAGCCGCAGTGAGCAGCCGTCCAGAAGCCGGCGACTGATGTGCCTCACCCGGGAAGAGCGCAATGATGGTGCCAACTTGGGCCAGTGAAGCAGCGTCCTCCACAACTAGACTGAAGAACAAAAACTACAGCAACTTGTCTGTTCCCCTTCCCCCAATTTCCCAGCACCATTCCCATCCCCGCCAATTCCCCAATAGAAATCTTTAAAAAAAAGAAAGAATGTTACTAGGATTAAGAATCCCATTATAATACCTCCATACAGAATAACCCCTCTTCATGCCTGCTAGTTACCTAGTCAACATCTACTCCCGCCCCCTTTTTGTTACTACAACCCGTTTTTTCAGCTGCGCAGCCCTTAAGAAAAGTGACCCTGCTCCCAGCTTAGGGAATCCTGATAAATACACGGCAGTTGTAATAATCCCATCCTTCTTGTTTGTGACCAGTTCAGGATAGATGTAACTCCATTCTACCGGTAATGTGAGGTCAGGTCTACTAAATGATGCCTGGGGAAGGATTTTCTTTTCACTCTAAAAAAGAGATAGAAGAAAGAAATCCTCCTCTTCCATGCTGACCACTGCCTGTACATGATGCCTGGGGTGGGTACTGTGGAAGCCTTCAGTCATAGGTGCTAGTCTGAGGGGAAAGCCAGGAAAGCTTGTCTGATGGGAAAATAAACACAACTTGTGCCCTCGGCCATATTATCCAACTGCTGAATTAATCAGCCCAGAACACACACCTTCAGCTATTTTTGTGAGGTGACAC